TGAGTCCAGAGCAGCCCAGGAGGAATGCTGTCACTGCTGAAATCTGTCTGCGAGTCTGACTGGTTTTAATATGCAGAGCTCTGCTCTTGACGTGGCTCCAGAGAGAAATGTTTGTGATAGTGCTGTTCCTGTCCTGGTAGGGGGAGAGGTCAAGCACTTAAAGTCCCTCCTTAACTCTCCCAGCAGCAGAAAGGGAGCCAGGTTTGGTTTGAGTTGTTGCATTTCATCCTCTGAAGAGGAGGTTGCCTGTAAATACTTTTGCAGCTCCTGTACCAAGGAAGTTGAAGTGAGTGGTTGTGTCAGAGACCCACATCTCTCTGACCTTATTGCTAACAGGTTTCCAAGCTCACATTTGTTCTTCTGACCACTGAACTGTGGCTGCTTCACGGGTTAGAACTGCTTAGTGTTTTCCTTAGTGAGATCTCTTGACTGCACTTGTCTGAAAGCAAACAAATGAGCACTTCCAGAAAAGTACCTGCTAAAGTGTATTTCTTCTCTGTTAAAATATCTTGATCTTCTCAGCTCCTGTTGGATTTGTATAGTTTCAGAGCTGCTTCTGTAGCTGTGACTTGGATACACTTGTAGTCAGATGGCTGATCAGCTGAGCTGTATTTCTGGAAGCTGATGTGTAACACCAGTACAGCTACGTCACAGTAACTGATCCTGTTATTTGTCTTGTAGTGGGACACAGCGGGACAGGAGAGGTTTCGAACTATCACTTCCAGTTACTATAGAGGTGCTCATGGCATCATAGTTGTGTATGATGTTACAGATCAGGTAAGTGTTAAACCTGGGCATGGAGGGTTTCTCCTGGTGGAATGCACTGGGTTGATAAGAAAATAAAACTGGGAATTTAGCAACTTGGCATTTAAGGAGACAGTGACCCTGCTCTTCAGGCTGTGTTAAGGTTTATCAAGCCAAATGTATGTGTTAGTCTCTGGCTTGGGGCTAAACACAGAAATAAAAGAAGCAGTGGGATCTGTGGCTCTAAAGCAGTTGTATCTTAAGCTTAACCTGCTTAATAACCTGCTGGGCAGGTAATTGATTGTTCTATGTGAATGCTTCTTGCCTTGCCTTTGGTAGCAGGAAGTCTGAGTTACTGATGGAAGTTGTTGAAAGATTTCTGAATATACTTGAACTTTGGTCTACAATAAAAGCTGGCATTTGAAACAAAATGATCAGCATCTGTGCAGGATACAACTGAGCCAGTGTTTTCTGTGAAAGAATATCTGAAAATTACTGGTGTGGTTGTCCTGTTTGAAGCATAGAGTTTCCTGAATTAACCAAAAAAGTACTAGGTTCAATTGCTAACTTGAATATCAGTTTAGTGTGGCAGTTCTGTGTTTCTGGAGTCAGAGATTGTTCCAGCATCTCTACAACAATGTGGTTTGCACCTAATACCCGGTGCTTTGTAAGTGCCTGGGATTTTTCTGGTTCCAGCTCTGTACCATGTCTTTTATCTCTGCTACAGAAGGAGGAGGAAAAGTCCCAGGTGGTAGAAGTTGTTGACTATTCAAGATATGGAGCAGGGAAAAATAGTGGGGGGGGGAGTGCAGCAAGGGAGAAAGGGCTGATTGTGTGGGGCTTGGGGCCCAGACTACAGAGCTGTAGAGACCCTGGGACTTGCCTGTCCTGAGGCAATGGAGGGGAGGACTGTAGGATTAAAGGGTGTTTTCTGGTGGTTGTGAATCCCACTGTAAGTTAAGTACACTGCTTCAGACACTTTTCCAGTCATAACTGAATAATGCTGAGCTCCTCTTGGTTAAGGGTCTTGCTTACAGTTCTCTTATCTCCTAGGAGTCTTTCAATAACGTAAAACAGTGGCTGCAGGAGATAGACCGTTATGCCAGTGAAAACGTCAACAAGTTGTTGGTGGGGAACAAATGTGATCTGACCACAAAGAAAGTAGTAGACTATACAACAGCAAAGGTATGTTGATGCTACTGTGGGTTTGCTTGGTTGAGTGCCTGGACTGTGATATGCTGGAGTAAGTTCTAGGGCAGGGAAGTGTCTTGGCACAGCTGGTGCTGTGAATGCAGGTGCTTCAGTGACACTCCCCCCTGCAATGACTGGAGTTTGGGAGTGGGGGGTGGCTGAGGAACTCCTGGCTGCACCAGGAAACCAGGCGAGGAATGAACTTGTGTCTGAGCTCACTGTTCGCTGTTTCTCGATTTGCAGGAATTTGCAGATTCTCTTGGAATTCCATTTTTGGAAACCAGTGCAAAGAATGCCACAAATGTAGAACAGTCTTTCATGACCATGGCTGCTGAGATTAAAAAACGAATGGGTCCAGGAGCGACAGCTGGTGGTGCAGAGAAGTCCAATGTTAAAATTCAGAGCACTCCAGTCAAGCAGTCTAGTGGAGGTTGCTGCTAAAACTTGCCTCCCCCCTTTTGTCTCACAATGAATTTGCAATCTGAACCCAAGTGAAAAAAAAAAAATTGCCTGAATTGTACTGTATGTAGCTGCACTACAACAGATTCTTACCGTCTCCACAAAGGTCAGAGATTGTAAATGGTCAATACTGACTTTTTTTATTCCCTTGACTCAAGACAGCTAACTTCATTTTCAGAACTGTTTTAAACCTTTGTGTGCTGATTTATAAACGTGTAATCCTTGTTGCTTTTCCTGATACCAGACTGTTTCCTGTGGTTGGTTAGGATGTATTTTTGTTTTGATGTTTCTATTGGCATGTTTAGATGTCAGGTTTAGTCTTCTGAAGATGAAGTTTAGCCATTTTGTATCAAACAGCACAACAGTGTCTGTCACTTTCCATGCATAAAATTTAGTAAGATATATGTAAGATCTGATTTGCTAGTTCCTTCTTGTAGAATTATAAATGGAAAGATCACACTATCTGATTAATAGTTTCTTCATACTCTGCATATAATTTGTGGCTGCAGAATATTGTAATTTGTTGCACAATATGTAACAAAACTGAAGAAATGTTTAATAAATATTGTACTTATTGGAAGTAATATCAAACTGTATGGTGATAAATATTGTCTTAATTTGTATGGCTAAAGGGGAAATCAGGCTTGCATTGTGCACAAAACATATCTGTGTGCAGCCATGGCTCTTGGACCTTCTCCTAGACCAGAGACCTTCCCTGCAACTAAAACTAGTGACTCTGGCCCAAAAGACTGAGTTGTCATGGTGCTTAAGGCACATCTGCTGTACCAGAAGCACCCAGCCAATGTTCACGGAGGCATAATGCACTCTGAATGTACAACAGTTCCCTAACTTGGTCTTGGAACTTAATTTATTTCTCAAGGACTCCATTTAGGGAATTCTGTCTGCTCTGTGTAGTAGGGGAAGAGAACAGTATTTCCCTAACAGGAATTACTTCAGTGTGTAACCTTGAGGTGGTATAACTTTCTACCACTGTTATGTCTTTTCTATATACTGTTAATTCCATCCTCTTTTAATCAGTACTCTCCTGACTTAGTGCAACAGCTTAGCTTCTATTCCGTTATGCATAGAGGCTTTGGAAGGATGAAACCGGGCTAGTAAGGCCCCACAACAGACTGTTGCTCAAAGTAGGCGCTATCTCAATTTGGAACTAACCAGCAGCCAAGAGGTTTTGGACAGTGTGTGATTCTTTGTACAGAGCTAATCAAATCATTAGTGCCTGATGTCTAGCTAAAAGCCACAGGAAAGCTAGCCTATAACACTTCCTATACATGTAAAATTGTTCAGCTTTATCTAAACTCAAATGTTCAGCCTATTCTGTAAATAGTCTCATGTTTGAAAGGCCATGTAACATTCCCCTAGTAGTAAATACACCCTGTGATAGTAAAAATATAGCCTAGTATGTTGTGAGGTATAAACTAAAATTGGTGCGAATATCCTCTTTTTTGGGGGGGGGTGGGGGGCAGGGGGGAGACTTTGGCTAACAGCTTTCTTCAACATAGTTGCATAAATCAACAGGCAATTGTAATACATAAAGTATTGTCATGGTTAAGTTGAACTCTTCCACTTGAGACCTTCACAATAAAGTGATGTGCTTTCTATTAGAGATGTGCTTGTTGGTATAATTCATTATATAATGTGACTTGCTCCTCAGTGAGATCAGGAGCAGTAGGAGTAGCAAGTGTTGCAGAGATCAGGAAGCGAACAAGGAGGAGGTGTGTTGAGGGTCAAACATCTTCCCTTCAGAGAAGTGCACAAATGAACTTAAATGTCAAGATGCCTGCTACATACTATCCAAAAAAATGTTAATATATACAGTAATAAAAGCATTGCAAAACTAACTTGGGCTACACCAGTTGTTTGGTGGTTATTTTTTTCTCTTCCCCCTAAGTCATGACTGTTGTCCTGTACTGTTCAGTGCTAGAGCATGTGGCTGCCAGGCTGAAGGGGTATGGAAGAGGGTAGAGCAGGCCTAAAAATCCTGGACAAGGGCACTGTGAGCTGAGCTATTAAAATACCTTTGATGTAAGGGGTCAGGCTTAAGCCTCATAAGTGATGGCACAGAGGCAGCAGGTAACATTTCCTTACGTGTAACTTCCATCCTGCCTGGCTCTGGGCTGTGTTTGAGCATCACCAACTGCCTGTAGGTACAGGAACTGCTGACAAGCTTCTTGCTGTAACCAGTCACTTAAGCCTTTTTGTTCAACTTGCACTGATCTATCACTTGGCAGTGACAAAAATTGGAAGATGGGAGAGATGAAAGAGCCACTGAATTACCTGTTTCAGTTTAATAATGCTCTTACCTTCTTGTGCAGTACAGAAACTTCACTTTGTTCTGGTCACAAGAATGGGAGGAAATGATGCATTTTGTGCAAGAACAGGATGATCACCGCTTAGTTTAAAGGTTAGTTAAAGCCCAAGAACCAACATTCTGTAGTTGGCTGTAACATTCTGGCCACTTGTGATGCTGCTTCAGAGCTGCTCTTTTCTGTTGCAGGAAGGGTTTGGAAACCCTTTCTGAATGTTTTGCAAGCAGTGATGAACTGCACCAGCCCTCAGAGGGGAAAGGCACAATGCTGCGCCCAGGGAACCCAGCACAGCACTAAACTACTGCAAATAACAGGGAACAGCAGTTTGTAGATAACTTGTGTTTTTTTTCCCTGAGCGTGCTCACCTGTTTTACTGAGATTGAGAGAGCACACTGGCTCTTTGCGTTTATGCATAAGAAACTGAAAGTTAAATAGGCTCTGCTTCGGCAGGGAAGGGTAATTATAAACATGAGTTCAGTTTGCTCCCAAGAACTAGAAGGAGTTGCTATTTCTTGGCTTCTAGCACCTATTTTTGAAGGGCATAAACAAAACATGAGAACATGGCTATTAAAATCACACGGCTTTACTTAGAAGTGAGTTGCACGGCACACTATGGATTACTCCATTAAAAAAACCTGTTCCTGATGTTTTGCTAATACATGGAACAGGCTACTTCAGTAAAAAAGGAAAGCTACGTTAAAAAACAAACCAAAAGAAGGCCAGCTGTGCATTCCTTACTGAGAAAACTCCCCAGCAGAGTCAGCACTATTAACCAGACACTCCAGTAGCCAAAGAACTGCTGTACAGCTCGCCTTTCTCAAGCCATGGTTAAAAAACAAAACAAAAAAAAAAACACCAAAAACGAAAAAACCCCTGAACTCAGCCCCGGGGTGGCTAACTCTGAACACAGTGATCATATGTATTTATTTGGCATCGCTGCAAGAGGTGGCAGAGGTGGTTTGACGCTGGCTGCAATTCTTCTCAGCCGTCCTGAGACTGGCTAACAAAGCCCAGGTCTGACAGAGGCAGCACCTGAAATAAAAGGGATTTACGTTTGCTACTTGTGCTTTGGCTGCAATGCAGAAAGAAAGAAAACCCCCTATGCTATATTTAAATCACCTCCACATACACTTGCTAGCGTATAGGATACAGCTACATATGTTTAGCAATTTAAAACCAAAACCAAGCTACTTAAGATATTATTGTTACTCTCCTCTAAAGCACTGGAAATAATTTTTCCTCTTTGCCGGTCTGAATTTTCAGGCGTAGAGTGGGCCATGGGGAAGTCAACAGCCTGAGCTAATGGCAGGGGGGGGGCGGCAAGGTTATCCTGCAGTACCTAAATTCCTACCTCTTGGTGCTCAGATGATGTCCAGGAGCCTTCCTGCACCTCTGGCCCCAGCACCTTGCTGACACCCACGATTGTTTCGCATAGAGGCTTTTACAGTGACTCCAGTCACAGCAGGAGTGGCCAAGAGCTGTGGCAGCACCCAGCTGCCGCGACTGTCCTCAAACACCACGCACCCCTACACCCCCTTACGCTCACCCTCCTCCTGCTGTGCCCTCCCAGAACACTTCTGTCTGCAGTTTGATTTGAAGGAAGATGTTCAAGAAATCAGCAAACAAACGGTCTAGTCATATTTCACAACCTGAATTCGCTTGTTTCCCTTTCCCACCACAAAATGGCAAGCAGAATTTTACACTGAGAAAAGGAAAAAAAAAAAAACAAACCACCCCTCTCCCATCTCTCTCTGCTGTGCAAGTGATCTCGGTAGAACAGCTGTCTGTCCGTCCACCCCGACACTGCCTGACAGTGACCTCCCAGCTCCCCAGGTCTCTCTGAGGAGCTGCTGTCACTCTCACCACACTCTTGGGTTTCATCAGCTGGTTCACAAACACAGCTCTTCCCCTGACACACAGACCATGGGGCATCCATTTTGAGATCACCCTGGCCACCTTCTCATTTTAGGCTTTCCAAATATCAGATTAAAAGAAATAATAATAAAGCCTGATATATAGTGTTTGCTAAGTTTTTTTATCTTCCTACACTGCTCTCCCTCTCCCCTTGCCACAGAAAGGCAGATTTTCCCCCCTGCTTACCCACTGAGCAGCCGCCTGCTGCACCCCCTTGTCCTCCATCCCGTCCTTGCCCTGCGCAGGACCCACAGCAGCTAGAACAGATTCGTACAAGTGCTCCGCTTGGGTTTCCAGCACTTTTGACTGTTTTGCAATCAAACCCAGCGTGTCTTTCAGAGCTGGAAAACAAAGGGTATGATGGAGTTGTTAGTAATGTGACAGTTCAATGTCTCTAAGAGCAGTAAGACAGAGTTGCACTCGCCTGGACAAAATTTTGAAGAAAATAGGGTATTAGAAATCAATAAGCTGATTTTCATCCCATCCACGTTGTGATGCAGAGTTTGGAGCATGTGAAAAGCAACCTAGGAGGCTCCCGGTTAAGAGTGAAGATACAGAAATAGGGGCTCCAAAGGAAACCTTGGGGCCTGTGTAAGAAAGCCCATTGTAACACAGCCTTCGACCACTAAAGTCGCCACCCCTTTGGTGACTGCAGACGCAGCCCACCCTTTGGAAATCCCTTGTGCCAGATGCACCCAATCCCCAGAGTCTCTGTCCCAGGTGTGCTGCACCAACAGCCAGGCAGGGCTGTCTCCTCAGATCAGCAGCTGCCACCTGCCCAGAATGCATCATGTGCGAGCAGGGTGTGAAAATCACCCCCCGTGCTGGGCAAAAGCCTCTCCCAGCTGCCTGCTGACAGCAGCCTGCAGCCCTGGTCAGGCAGGACCTGACCACGCCGTAGTTAAGAGAAAAACCTGTGAAGGGACCCGTAAGAGGCAGAAACCCATCCACCACCCACGATGGGGCCCCTCACTACAGAAAGGACATTGAATGACTCGAGTGTGTCCAGAGAAGGGCAACGGAGCTGGGGCAGGGTCTGGAGCACAGGTCCGATGGGGAGCGGCTGAGGGAACTGGGGGGTTTAGTCTGGAGAAGAGGAGGCTGAGGGGAGACCTCATCACCCTCTACAGCTCCCTGAAAGGAGGGTGCAGGGAGCTGGGGGTGAGACTCTAACCAAGGAACAAGGGATAGGACAAGAGGGAATGGCCTCGAGTTGCACCAGGGAAAGTTTAAACTGGATATTAGGAAGCATTTCTTTCCAGAAGGGGTTGTTGGGCATTGGAATGGGCTGCCCAGGGCAGCGATGGAGTCCCCATCCCTGGAGGGGTTGAAGAGACAGGCTGACCAAGCACTGAGGGATCTGGTGGAGTTGGGAACTGTCAGTGTGAGGTTAATGGTTGGACTGGATGATCTTCAAGGTCTTTTCCAACTGAGATGATTCTGTGACAGATGGCACAGCACAAGGCAAGGGTCAAGACATGCTGCAGTTTGGGACTAATCGCTTCAAACCTCCAAGTCCACTCACCTCCCAAGTCTCCGGACAGCAACTGAGGTGCGAAACCCTTTTTGTTCCCGTACAGCTGCTGAACAGTGAACTCTGCCCACCACTTTCCCACCCCTGCACACACAGGGCCAGGGATTCCGGGCAGCAGACACTACAGCCAGCACCCCTGGCTGTGTCCACAACCAGCCCTGCTCAAGTGCTCCTCCTCACCTGGCGAATTCGATGCCATGCAGTCGAGGAGAGCTTCTCCCCGCTTCAACACGCTCTCCGTCAGGCTCCGATGATCAGCCACGTCTTTCCTGAACTCCTGGGAAGGGAAGAAGAGGAGCGCTGCTTCAAAGGGCTCTTAGAAGAGAAGCACCCATGGCAGGTTGTCTGGGGAGCAGTTTTCCCCACACAGGTTCCCAGTGTTCCTCAATTCAGCTTTGCACACCCGATGCGCCCCGTATCACCCACCTGGAACATGCCAGTGGTGTCTTACTTTGTGCACCAAAGACAGGGAGGAAAAGCTGACGGGGATACCTACCAAGCAGCGGTGGAGCGATGCCTTCATGCTCTCGGTGTCTGTCGAGGGTGGTACCCAGCTGTCAGTGATGTCAGCGACGTTGTACAGCCAACAAATTAGCTCTTCCAGCTGGCAGCAAAACATCTACTTAACGAAGCATAGCAAAAGGGGTTACTTTTCTACTTCTGCAACAAAGGTATGGCAGGGACAGCAATAGGTGTTTCAGGGAGCACCTGATCTCTCCTGCGTTCCTGTCATGGGGCTGGTGATGCCCACCTCCCCCCAGCACACAAACATCCCTAAGCTGGGGAAACCAAGGGTCAACAGAAAAAAAAAAGCAAAAAGCAAAAAGCAAATTAAACCCCCAAACACACCCCAAAACCACAGTGTGGCAAGAATTGAGGGGCACCAATGAAATAGCTGCTATGGAGAGGTGTCAGAAGCCAGCGGCACCCAGGCTGAAGGAAGGGGTTTGCCTCCACCACCTCCCAGCCAAAGGGACTCCCTCCTCCTCAGCAGAGCTGTGCAAGTTAATTTGCAGTTGCTTTTCCCCAGGGGTGTGTCTTGTTCAATTAAGTGCTTTCATTTATTTTTAAAGCATCTCAGTAAGGGATTATTTTTGTAAGACGCTGCACAAAACCCAGGGGTCTCTACTCTCACTGAAGTCAGACTCCAGCCTCTGCGGTCAGGGTTTTGCTACAAAGCCAAGTTGCTTCTCCCTGGTACTGTAATTTGGGGTGACAGATGCACCCTAATGCTGACCCGTTTTAAATTGGCAGAGTTATTCCCAACTGGTGTTTGCAGCTACATGCATAATAACAATTATTCTCTTGCAAACAGCTCAGCATCGTTTCCAAATTCTGCCCGGGGCTGGGGCAGGGAAGAAGATGGAGGGGAAGGCGGGAAGCATGGCACCAGTGCCAGGATGGTCATGAGGCACCACTTGCTCAAAAAGTAAAAATTCACAAAATAACCAGGAAACCTCAGAGAAACCCCACCAGTTCTGCCTGGCCTTATTATACCGTTAAGTAGGACCTAGTCTGCGGAAGATGAGCGAGGCTAGGCTGAAGGGAAAGGCTGGCCATGCCACATTAAATAGCCAGAGTGACAGGGCAGGCAGCAAACGCTGGGTTTCATGCTGGTCCAGCCCCAAACACAGCTCTCATAGCTCCCCCCCGCAGTGCAATGGCCCTGCAGGATGGGTGGGCTGGGGGAAGCCAAGCGCCACATTCCCACTGAGCCCAGCCCCGTGATGCTGAGCCCTGGCAAAAGCAAGATGGGCTCTTGCTCCACCAGAAGAAATTAATCTGCTCTGGTGAGCCTCCTGCAAAAATTACCACCAGCTGCCAGACACCAAACATTCTGCAGAAGGGGAAGCCTTAATTAACTGTGCCATAAATACAGGCCCATTTTATGCGAGATCTTCCCATAAGAATCTTTATTTCTGGTCTCAGCCTACCTTAATGCACTGGGCAAGGGACTCGCTCTGCTGGCTCTTCTTCGGATGTCCCCTGACCTGTGGTTCATGTAGGTACGTCCCATCCAACGTGTCCCTGAGACCGGTCGGTAGATGAAGCCGCCACAGAGGATCCCTATGGATCTGGCCACACAATTCAGCGTTTCCCCAGCTGGGTTTTCGAGAGCTGCAGGGGTGTTGCCGCCCTGCACAATCCTCAATATTCCCTTTTTCGTCCCTACCACCTGCTTCCCTGAAAGGAGACAACACAGATGAAAGGGGCTGCCTGCTGTCGCTGTGACGGGGAAGGTCATGTTCGTTGTGCCTGGGGATCCTTATAGTTAAGGAAAGATCGGTCAAAAACTGAGCCAGCCTTTCCAGCTCCCGCAGTCTTGGAGGCAGGGAGAGAAATTCTTCATCACTCTCCCACTCTTGCCTCAGGGGGAGCACTTGCGTTGTAGGTAAAAACCTATTAATGGTGCTTTTCGCCTGCCCTTTGTAGTTTGGGAAGGGGCTCCCTCTGGTACACCAGTGTCTCCCATCTGCAGCAGTGTGCCCAAATGAATCCGGCCCAGCTGCCTCTGTTGTTACATCCTTAGCAAAACCTCTCAGAGGACAAGATGAAGTACTCTTTGCGAAGGCTCTTTTTGCAGCAGCTGAAGGTTCATAGGACGAGCCAGCCTCCGAGCAGCCTCTTTTTCCAGGCGTCGGGGTGGAGAACCCCTCTGCAGAAGCCACGAACCCCCAGCATCCATTTTCTCTGCTTCCCTGAGCCTGCCCACCTTGGCTGTAGATGCTGGTGGACCTCGACATGCCCTCAGGGGAAACAGAAAAGCTGTCCAAACCTATTCCTGAGTCATGGAGGAAAGGCTCCGGCATTTTTCCCAGCTTGTATCTTGGCTTCAGTGGATAAGCATAATCCAGCAAGTCCTCATATTCTTTATTGGGGTTCCAGTGGGGCGAGTGACGGTCCGGAGATGGGGGTAACGAATCCGGGATGGCGCAGGCCCAGTAATCAGCTTGGTAAGATGACATCCCTCCGATGCGCTCCACGGTTGGGCGGTTGCCAAGCAGAGGACCGAAGGGTTTGTGTGGCCGCGGCGCCCTGCCTTCCGCCGCCCCCCACCGACAGCACAGGTCCCCAGCGGCCATGGCTGTGGGAGAAGGCACGTCCATGCTGGCTGCCAAGCTGCAGGATGGCTCTTTGGAGAGGCCGTTTTCTTCTGAGGATGGAGTGGAGAAGCTCAATGCGGAGCGGCTCCTCAGGGCACTCTCAGGGCTGGGCGGGGTTTGGGGTCGCAGAAGCTCCGGGGTGGAGGAAAATGGGGATTGAGGTCCCAGCCTTTGGCTCGGCCAGCTGGCACGGGCATCGTGGCAGCTGCCAGCAAGGATGCTCTCCCCGGCAGAGCTGCGCCGGCTGGGAGGGCTGGACACTGGCTCCCAACAGCCCAATGTCTTCACCTGCTCAAGGATGCAGGGAAAAAGGAAAGGGAGAGAGAGAGAGAGAGAGACACATAAAATGAAGCATCGCATCCAGACAAAAGGTCCCTTTGTCCTGGGACATGGTGATAAAACAGCCAGCCTCAGACCCACCGTGGGAGAGGCTGGAAGGGGAACTCTGCTCCATCTATGGGACAGTATACAGCTGCCTGGAGCGGGGCTTGTTTTTAAGGAAAGGTATCCCAAGGGCTTGGGAAGCTGTGTGAGTCATTGGGCAGCAAGAGGTACTTAATTAAAGAGCCCCATCCCAAGCAACTTTCCAGCTCCACAGCAGCAATACCGGAACAGAGTCAACAGCTCAGGTGCTGGAGCCCAAGCCATTCCCCCCAAGACCGCTTAGGCCAGGGCTGGGGTGGACACACTGGCTGGAGGAGACAGAAAGCCCTTGCTAGGACAGCCCAGACCAACAAGTCCCCACCTTGGCTGAGACCTCCCGGTGATGCAGCAACCCCTGTACATACAACCCTCTCACCTGCTGCTCTTCTGAGGAGAGGAACCGGTGGCTGACGCGACGAGGCCCACTGCCGCCATCAGCGGCTCTATAAATTAATGTCTCTGTCTCCGAGAGGCTTGTTCTTGCTCTGGGAATTCTGGATGCAGATGCCGAAGACGCTTCTTGGTGGTAGCTCGAGCCTCCCTGGGTAACACCAGTGACCAGGCAACCACGTCTGCTTGTTGCCACGTTCTCCATCCCTTGAAGGCAGGGCTTGGCTTCCTCTGCCCCTAAAAGCTGGTGCAGGCTGTCAGCCAGCTCTGGGTAGTCCATCTCCACATCTGCACAGTCCCACCTACCATCGCCCTCAGCCCTCTCGCTCAGCGAGGCTCCAGAAGCTGACTTCCCCACATCCACGGCCATCAGGACGGAACTTCTGCAAGACGATGACGAGCCTCAGGGTCTCTGAAATACACAGCACGTGGTAGCAGCAACCCACCATCCCCTCTTTGTCTCCAGGCCAAGTAAAGAAACTGGGTATCTCTAATAACGAAGAGCTTAAGCATGCTCTGGGTCAGACCCCAAAATCATAAAGTTGCATCTCAGTGTGTCAAGCGGGACAGAGGAAAGAGCAAACCTTCATGTCTCAGCAGTGTTTTCTGGTTTTCAGGACATGACACCCAGGGAAAATCTAATTAAAGCTCTGGCTGTACCAAGAACAAACCTGTAGTTTACACCTTTCCGGCACAGCACAACCGTCTCCTGAATTAATGGCCAATCTCACAAACAGTTTTTGCACCATGAGGTTACTGGGCCCAAATGAGACATTGTTAACTAGGATGTAAAGCACCTATTAGTATGTCTGAGCCCTGAAGGCTGTTGGGGTAGAAAGCGGAGGGTTTCAAAACCTTGAAATGGAAGCCACCCAGAAGTGAGAAGTATATATAAAAAATGAGAGGGGGTGGTAAGAGGCTGTAAAACCCAAACTTGGCACTTAGCTCTGTAGCTTCTATCTCAATTCATGAAATTAACTCTTTGTGAAATTAATGGAAATGATTGCACAACCAATGACACAGTTTCAAGCGTGCTATACAGCCAAGCCCATTGCACCTTGCTGCAAATCCTTCTAACATGAAATATTATTCTCAAAGCCTGAACCCCGGGTGCTCCACGCACGGAGATGCTCCACCACCCCCCTCTCTCTGCCCACGCTGGACTCGAGTGAAGAGCTGCAGCAGGACCACCAATGGGCCAAATCAAGGAGACACAATACAGCAGCACACAGGAGATCTTGTTTTACAAAAACCAGCCAGAGCTGAGCGCCTCTGCCTGTGTTCGTCGAGCCAGCAGGACTCAAAAATACTCTCAATGTAAATGACATCTTGCGGGACTGCCGTAGAGCATCAAAACTGGCGCTGCCCAAATCCTCATGCACAAGCTCTGCTCTGCTGGGTCCCAGGTAGGGCATCCTCAGAGGACCAGCAATACCAAAGCCTCTTCCAGCAACTCCAGCCCGAACCAGGGTGCCAGCATTAAGAAAACATCAGCAGAGTGGTTACTCACCCAGCTAGCACCGGGCTGGCAATGGAGAGACCAGCCAAGGGAGCATCAACAGCAAACTCAACTTGAAAAGAAAATTTTTTTTTTAAAAAAAAAGGAGGAAATAAAGTATTCCCAAACAATACTTGGAAGTGGGAAACAAGTTGATACTCACACCCTCTGTCAGCTCTTTTGTCGCGATCTCGTATTATGATCCACCCCTCCGGCGACAGGGGTTTTTCCCACAAGCAGAGCCCAAGCACAGAACAAAGAACAGCAGGGTGATGCACCGGGTCTCCAGGGGAGACCGAACCCCCGTCACAACCCGTGGCAGGCACCCCAGCTGCCTTCCCCCTCCCCAGGCGCCGGCAGCCCGTGCAACTGCCCAGCAGCTATATTCAGCAGGGCAGCAGCTGCAGAGAGGGCGAGTAAATCCTGGGCCCTCCCAGCCTTCCACGCAAGCCGTGTGCCTGCCAACACCTCGACTCACCCACTTGACTGCTTAAGTCGCTGACAGAGACAACCCTATGCACATCATGCTATCCTAAAATCAATGGTACTGTTCTCCTTTTCACCCCCAAAAAGGCTGTATATCCAAACAAAAACACATGGTCATTGCAATAAATGTAATTAATAAACCTACACCTGCTAAATTCCCTAAATATTATACAACAAATATCATTCAAATATATGTAAGCATATATATATTATTTAACAAAAGGTAGATTTCTGATGTAAACAGAAAGAGTAACCCAAACCACTCCTGAACCCAGGTGTGTTTCCTACAGAGCATGTGTGTGATTTCTTCACCTACACACCCCACAGATTTTAAGGCCAGAGGTCTCCCGAGCCCCAGGAGGCAGCCCCCTGTTACTGGCCAGCACTCACTGACTGCCATTCAGCCCTCTGAATTGATTTTGTTTAGAGAATCAGACAAGCAATTATCAGCAAATCAAATGCCAAATCCAGGTGATTTAAATGCTCAGAAAATCACTTGAGATGTATTTGTTTACCAGCTTTAAAAGCCAGGGCCTTGGCTACAAGGAAAAACGATGCTCACTGATTGGATTCCTCCTCCTTCAACCTTCTAATGGGCAAAATGCCACCGGGGCGACAAATTGTAAGCTACTGCATATTAAATTCCAGGATCCCTTTCAGAGCCTAAGAGCCTGCTTCAAATTCACCATTTTGGGTGCTTTCCTCTGTGACAAGAAGCAGGTGATCCAGCAGAGATCATCACTAATTATCATGACATGCACAGGCATCGCACCGGCTCTAATCCCTCCTTGCATGTTCTGGCAGCACTGTACGTCCAAACTGTCCAGTAAATATAAATCTTAATAGAGAGGAGGGCACTGGACACCCGTAGCTTAGGACATAAATGCTTCAACAATCTGTTCTGTTGCTTGGTAGTGATTTAAAAAAATACATAAAAGAAAGAAAAGCTTAACAAGGCATCAAAGCAAACTTTAAAGTTTTAAACTGCATGTGCAGTAATTAATGATTGACCTCGGTACCTCTTCACTTTTAAGAAGATGGCACATTAACTTCAAAGTGGTGTTGAACATCATTATCTCCACCAGATTTAGTGGCTTGAGTCATGTGTCTGTCAGCCCAGTAAACACAATTATAAAAAAACATATATAAGCTTGACCTTTAAATCTGAAAAACTTGTGTTACGCAAGATTAAAAAAAAAAAAAAAAGGTAACAACCCATCTATTATTTTTGTAACCATATACAGGAAAACAAAGGTTGAACTGTTCTCAACTTTCAAGACTATCTGTTGATCTTATGGATGCAGCATGCAGTGATATACATTTCCACAATGCCATCAGTCTAAAAAAAGACCAAATGCTGGTTTACAGGTTCATTAAGTCTCCAGAGGCTAACTGGAAGCTAAGGAGAAATGAGGAAACCTGCCAGTATGCACAAGTGAGAATAAATCTGCTTATTTTAGAGATTTCACTCCATTGTCAAAAGTCTCTAGTTCAGGCAGCTAATTTCAATTAATTTCAGGTGGAGTTGGACGTCCAACCACATTTGGATGCAAAGTAGATGGGGAAGTCACACACATTCCATACATGGAGCGATCAGGCAGAAAGTCGTCTTTAAAAACAGTGAAAATGCTGATGTCACTAAGTGCAATTCCCAACTACAAGAGCATCTAGAAAACAAAGCTTCTCACCATTTCCCATCAAGATGAACCCTCACGACGGGAAGAAGCAGCCCAAATCCTTGGGGAAGACCAACACAGCTCCGAGGAGGGATGTACAGCGACAGCTTTAGGCACAGCGGAAACTTTCCACTGGCCTTAAAACCACAGGAAAAGGACCAGAAACCCCGGCTACACCCCAGCCCCCACCAGCGATGGGGCGGCACAGAAACGGTACCCGCGGCAGGTTTTTTTAGCTAACAGAGCAGACAGTGGCTGTTTTCATTCATTTCAATAGGGAAGGTCCATGGGGATCTCTCGAGAAAAGCGATCCCTGAACATTTTCATGTCGTCAAAAGAAATCTGCCTGCCAAAGAGTCGCACAAAACCCAGCAGACAAGGAGAGCTCTGTCCCAACCAGAGACATCCCACCGCCCGTGGGCAGCACTTGGCTGGCAGAGTGCAACCAGGGCAGCAGACGCTGATGAGAGTTTCCGTCTCCCACCAGCTCTGGTTTTGTTGGGAAGGTTTTTGTTGTTGCTGCTGTTTTGGGGAAAAAAAACACACCGCTCTTGCCTGCCAGGCCTGCGGGATCTGAGTTTTGGTATTTGTTTGCTCCTTTTCTCGTACGCTTTCCGCCCGAAAAGCCTTTCCCGCAGCTGAAAAAACGGCAGATTAACCAAAAAATCCCCAAATAAAGTCAATGGAGCCGGGGAGGCACCGCACCCCAGGGACGCCCTGAACTGCTGGAGACACGGAGGCAACGCGCCACGGGCTTCCACAGGGAAAGCCGCCCGCTTGCCCCCACACTCCGCCCCGCTGGCGGCCGCGACAAGACCCGGAGCCGCGACCCCGCTGCGCC